TAATCCCATCTGACTGGACTCAATCACTGATTGTGCCAGTTTTTAAGAAAGGACAAAAGTCCTCTTGTGACAATCACAGAGGAATCAATTTGACTAATATAGTGTCTAAAATATTAGCCTCAATAATACTTCAGCACCTAACCAAAGCTTGTGAAGAGCAGACTAGAGAAAACCAGGCTGGTTTTCAACCTGGACGTGGTTGTATAGATCAGATATTCACACTTTGTCAGGTTCTAGAACATAGACACACATTAAGACGCCCCACAATCGTAGCATTTCTCGACCTTGAGGCGGCATTTGACTCTGTTGGTCGTGAGATTCTATGGCAGTGTTTGTCACTGAAAGGAGTACCAAAGAAGTACATTAATCTTGTAAAGGTTCTCTACTCGAACATAACCGGTCGAGTAAGAGCTTATGGCGAATTGTCATCAGAAGTGATTACCTCAAGTGGTGTTCGTCAGGGCTGTCCACTCTCTCCATTCTTGTTTAACTTTGTCGTTGATGTGCTTGTAGAGATGACACTTTCCTCATCTACATTCCCAAGGGTTGAACTTCTACCAGGAGGTTCACTTGTTGACTTAGAATATGCTGATGACATAGTTTTATTTGGTGAAGACGCTGACAAAATGCAGAGTCTTCTGACCACTCTAAGCAACAATGCAAGCATGTTTGGGATGCAATTCTCTCCCTCGAAATGCAATATGTTGCTTCAGGATTGGGTTACATCGACACCCGAACTAATGATAGGGAGTGAAGTAGTTGAGTGTGTCGACCGCTTCACTTATCTTGGAAGTCTCATCAGCCACTGTGGTCTGGTGTGTGACGAAATCTCAGCACGGATACAGAAGGCTCGACTAGCTTTTACCAACTTGCGTCATTTATGGCGTAGACGAGATATCCGTCTATCAATCAAAGGACGTGTTTACTGTGCAGCAGTTCCTTCCATCCTAATTTATGGCAGTGAAACATGACCGGTAAGAGTAGAGGATATCCGTAGGTTACTAGTATTTGATCATAGGTGTCTTCGAGGGATTGCTCGTATATCCTGGGACCACTGAATAAGTAATGCAGTTGTTAGGAAACGGATACTAGCTAAGGATGGCAAATCAATTGATGAAGTAATGAAACTTCATCAGTTGAGATGGCTTGGACATGTGTTACGTATGTCCGACCACCGACTGCCCCGACGTGCGATGTTCAATGGTATAGGAGTAGGTTGGAAGAAAGCTAGGTGCGGCCAGACTAAAACATGGCACAAATCTATGAAGTCACTGTCAAGTGGACTGAGCCATGTTGGTAGGTGTAGACTACTTGTTTGGGATGTACGAGACGATAGCAACCGACGGTTAGAGACCCTGAATGACATGGCTCAAAATGGTTTGCAATGGCGCAGGTGCATCCATTCTTTGTGTTCTCCCAAATTCTAATCTTTTGAATTCTTCATGTCCCTTTCTTTTTCCTCTTTCCAAATTTATTTCACTGTATTATACTCCTTGAATAATATCTTCAAACACTAATCTTTCCGATTACTGCTTATACTCTTACCACCTCTACCACTACGGGATTTGATTCGACAATTGTATTTATGTGCTAATGTGGTGTGGCAACTCTAACTGATGTACATATGTTCGAAGTTCTACTTTGTTACTGACTGACTGATTTCTGGTTATCTTATAGCACAGAGTCTAAAATGGTGTGCTTTTTGCGAACTCTTTTAAAATTTCGTCTATGTCAAAGAAACATCTAAAATTCTTTCTTCTACTCATTGAATTGCTAAAGATTTCTCATTTTTATCATAAATCTTATTTGCTTTTATATATTCGTTATTCAGTTTTGTATAAATTCCCATAACGAAAATTGCGGTCTCATTAATTATTAAAATTATCATTTCCCTATCAGTTTATGGAGTTTCCTAGCGTAGTAACTCAGTATTAATTTCTTCTAGTAAGTTATTTCACTCTTCCAGTAGTGATAAAATCAATCATAGTAAATTGTTTACTTTATGTACTTCGGATATTTTACACGAGCACTCTCTTCTGTAATAATTCACGTATAAAATCAGATTTAGAATCAAGTTAATTATATATTTTTTACTTCTATTTCAATACGTTTACATACTTTTAATTAATGTTGATTAATTTTGATGTGTTAGAATTAACTATGTAAAAATTCATTAAAGAAAGTCAGAGTGTTTAATGTAGAATGCCTTGTTACTGTTTAACTAATACAAATGAAATATTATAATTAAGAAATTTGTATACAATCTCCACTTTCCAATCAATGTAATCAATTATATTATAAATTAGATTCAACTTTTTTTAAATAGTCATGTTATTTATTACTGTTATTATCGATATCTATCTTACAGGCCACTTCACACTGAAGTAATAAATGTTACACTATCAGCTATCTGAGACTAAATAAATTAGTCTTTCCCTTCAATTACTGATTATTTCATAATCATTTACATCAAAATTTAACTAGTAGTCTCTGTTAAGTAAATGTGATATTTCCCCCTAAAATATTTTCTTTGTAGTCATAGGTGAGTTTTTGCCTTTTGCCAATCCGTGGTTTAACAAGATATAAAGTTCTGGAGCAGGGTAGCTATGGAATTGGTTATTGGTTCATGTATAATGATTGTATAACAGTTTTTCCAATTATCATTATTATTGACTCGGTGGTCGAACTTTCTCTTAATATTAAAATAAGCATCTTCACATAAGTCCAGTGAAATGGTTCAACGAAATCGGTATGAGTACATCAAAATTACTTCATTATAAATGACCATTAATATAATTCCTTTCTTTGTAGTATGTATCGTTAAGTTCCCTTGTTCTAGTTGTTCATGTAGGAATGTTTCAATATTCTGCTTTAAGTCATAATAAATTATTACTAGTTTATCACAATCATTATTTAGTTTTGATTAAAATTTCAGTAAATCTTCATTCAAATAGAATATGCTCATAAATCAATTAATAGTATTCCTAGTTCTTCGGTGTTAAATACAAATACACTTTGAGAATAAAAAAAGTCAAAGTCATTAAGGTAATATATAATTCTCAAAAATCTTTCAGTTTTTCTTATGCATTATTAAAATGAGACATTTGTATTAATAACCTGAAATATAGATTATATTAATGTATATATGTATATGTATGTATATAGTTATGTCAATATTGATATATCTAACTATAAATGTATGTACATCCAGTTTCGTCTGGTTCTACTGATTGAACATATTTATTATGGAAAAAAAAACTACTGTCGTTGAATGCCATTAAGAAGTATAATAAACGTGTTTCTTTTTAAGAAAGGGAAGTAATATAATATTATTAATAATAAGACAAGAATTAAAAATGGATACAAAAGGAGTAAGAAAAGTGATAAAATGAAATTTGAAACAAAACAGAAACACATAAATCTTCATCAATATTTTGATTTTGTTATTTTTTTTTTCTTTCTTTATCTCTGTATGGATTTTACATTTTTCCAGTCTGCTACAATTAGAAAGACTAAAAACAAAAGAAAGAAAAGCAGTTGACAAAAATGCAAACTATTTAGTTTTCTTGTATAGATATATATATATATATATAAACTTGATTGTTTTTCGTTTAAATAAGTCACTGGGATCCTGGGGTGTTTACACAAGTATTATATATATAGTAATGTATTCACAGTGTCACAGCTTATACCTAGTCTAGCATCTAATGAATATGTTCATATATTATTAGTTCACTTCTTGTATTCAATGTACCAATGATTTCGGCTTAAGTGTTATGTATTTCAAGGATGAAAATATGTCATCAATAGTTTATGTATGAATAGTTCTTGTTGAACTATTAAAAGATAATTAATATTGTCAAATGAGTTTATGAAAATATCCTATTATAAGAATAGATATTAACTTATGAGCAGTGTTAATGTGGCAAAAGTTTAGTTTCTGATTCACGACGTCCAATATGTAATGAACGATTTGCTCCAATTAAATGTCCTAATGGAATTCCTGTTCCTTCACTAGCCCTTGACAAATAAAGTAGATTAGAATCACATCTAACTTGTGGTTCACATCGACTCATTTGTCCTCTCCATAATAATTTTTCTTGAAAATTTTCAGTACGATAATTCTCTGGATTGACTGGTTCACCTCTACTAAGATTATTTAAACCTTGATTATTACTGTGATAATTTGTAATTGATGGATCGAAAAAGTTATTATTATTGTTAGTATTATTATGATTTTTATTGTTATGTATATCGTTATGATAAAAAGGATTATTATAACTGTGACAATTTTGAGTTGTATCAGATAAATTAGATGAATAACATTCAGATGAAAGTGATGAAGTTGGACTGACTGTACGTGAAGTTGATTTACTTGTGTGTCTACCATTCGATGGTTTCATTTTTGATGGTCTATGCTCTTTACGTAATTGATCAAGTTCCGATTCTAATTGTTCAATAGATTTTTCTTGTTGTTTTATCACTTCTGTTTTAGATGCTACTACTTCTTCAATTTCCTGACGTTCTAGTTGAAGCATCTTTTTCAATTCTTGTAATCTATTTTTTTTAAAAAAACACAACATTTCAACAGAAATGACAAGAAATAGAATTAATTGACAAATAAATGTAGACAGTAAATAGTACAAAAATAATGTATCTACAAAAGTCTAATTATTACGTTACCATTTGTTCAGATTATGATTTTATAGAAAGTAGATTGAATTGTATGACATTTTAAAATGTAGGTAATGCAACAATTTAAGTAATGTTATATATCTTGTTGAAGTTTTGTTCTCTGAGCTGAATGGTTTGGTCGTGGAGCTTTCATCGTTCTTCTGAACGACATCATCAGTACAAACTTCTAATGTTATGTATCATATACGTCTTAAGATTTTGTAATAAATAAAATTAGTGTAAGTTGGTCAGATGACTAATTTGTAACTTTTTAGTACCTTCCGAACCCATACTTTAAAGTGAAAATAAATTTAAATCTAATTCAGTTCTCTTACATAACATCATTGAGACTTTTTGTTGTTAAGGAAAATTGAATATTCAGTTTTAAATCCTGTCATGTGTAAATCTTATTCTTTGGGGATTTTTTTTTCAAAAAAAAAAACAAAAAAAAACAACATAGATATTTTATAGTTTAAATGTTACTAAGCTTAGACGATAAGTGATTATTAGCCCCATAACTATATACATGTACATCAGATGATTTTTCTCATTAAACAGATATTTCTTTAAATTCAATAACTATTTCTAGATGTTTTATCTATAATTACAATGTTTATTGTTTTAATGGTTGTTACCATAGTATTTCAAGTGTAATTTATGCTTCATTATCATGCTGGTTGATGTATGTGTATACTTGAGAACAAAAAGAAAATATTTTTTTAAGAAAATCGATACAGTACGAAAGTATATTTTATTAAAGCAATTAGTCCGTTTGATAAATTTCGATAGTGTAATAAGAAGACGAAGATTAGCAGAACTATGTGATATATTTGCGCAATACATTTCGAACAATCTGGTCACACATATACTTGTTAAGAACATTTATATATAAAAATAAATAGTCAACTAGACTGGAAACGGGGTAAGAGGAGATAGGGATAATGATAAGAGTAATAATAATAATGTGAACACACCCCTAGCCAATGTTACCAGGGTAGATTTAAGGTGAGAACAAACTGTTTCTGAATACACAAAGGGAGTTTGAATTTTAGTACGGCTAAGGCTTTAATAAACCTTAGTATACGCACTTTTACACTTTTATACAACACCACAAAAGCCGAGTTAAGATCAATCTTATGGCAGAAGGTTGAGAAGATCGAATAGAAGAGAACAAGAACAGATAGTGATTGATGTGAAAATGAAGGAACAATCAAGTCTGAGACAATTGACTGACATTTTTGCTAATGAATTATTTACTGTATGATTCTGAGATTTTACTAAGATATTCTGTAATTTTGTATTCAAATACATTTGATTGTCTCCACTGGTGTTCCCATTCACTATAGCGTTACAAACGAGAACAATTATCGTGTGATCAAAGTCAGGACAACTGATAATGTTACGCGAATACAGCTAATATTCAAGGACTTTCAGTGGTATCATTATCATCTTATCGAGTGATTAATTGATATTTATAATCATAAGAAAATTAAATTTCTTCAAGCATAATTTGAAGAATGTTGTTACTGCAATTTATATTAGCTATCAACTTGCATAAAGAGTCTAAATTCTCTAGCAGAATATTCAATGCCAAATACATGTACACTAAAGCATGGATATGCTAGTAAATAGGTTAACTTAAAGGGTTTTCTTAACATGATTCCTACGGTTACTAAAAACACTGGGAAATCAATTGATCATCACCGAGATTGTTTATTTCTCATACCATAGGTATATTTAAACGCTGAATATTATTAGAGTACTTTCGTTCTGATACCTGTACCACAAATAATAACCGACCTGTCTAGTTATTACCACATAATTATCTTAGTTGTTTAATATATGTATCGATGCATAATATATCCATAACATGTAAATACAATATGATAAGTAACTTCTCCCAAAACAGTGGAGTTTTTCACTACAGTTCTAATGGATATGATGTGGGTTCCACCGAGATCTGTTTCATAGTGAGGATTAGTAACATGAAAACTCACCTAAAATTTCGATATCTTTCGGCAAATGTATTTTATACTAGTTTTTTTCTTAGAATTGGGACTAAAATAATCTACTCACTTTTCAGCTAATTGATCCAGACTTGGAGATTCAGACAAATGATTTTGTCTTGCGGAAATTCTTCTTGGTTTGTTATTTTTTGTGGTTGTTTTCTTTGTGTATTCACTTGTATCTTCAGTAGTACATTCTGTGATTCTATCATCACAATCGTCATAGTCATAATCACTATCGCTTGTACTTGAACGATCAATAGTTATAGATGCAGAATGAGTAGGAACTAATGTTCTACCAATAGCACACTCACTGGTATAATTATCATCATCTTCATCTTCATCTCCATCGTCATCATCATCATCATCATCTTTACTTATTGAATTATTATTCGTTTTGTCTGAATTTTGATATGGACACTGCGCTTTTTTCAACACACGATCTAACGGTATAGGTGTTGAATTATCGGATTTTGAATTTATTATTTTTCGTTTTACTTGACGATAACTATTCTCATCAGTACTTTGTCTTGATAAATTTCTATCAGATCTTCCGTTGTTTATATGGTTATTATTTCCATTGATATTGGCATTATTATTAGGAATTCTATTTGAAGGGTTTCTAATTCTATGTACAGATTGTGTAGAATGACTTAAAGCATGAGATAAATTTGGGTGATGACAACAATTCGGTTCAACTTTTTCAATACAATCATTTAACTGACGTAATTGTTCACGATATTGACTTAATAACTCCTCCATGTTTTCTGACTGTTCAATGTCATTTATGTGTATTTGTTTAAATATCATATCGGCAGAATTAAATTTACATGGTAAATATTCTTTTTGTATAATAAATGTATCCCACGATTTTTCTTGTTTTGTATTTGAAATAAATTCATTACTATTAGCTGAACTATTTGAAGTAGCATTATTATTAGGCTCTTGTTGATTATGTATTGGTTTTACATTTATAGGTGCTTCCGGTGATAGTTTTCTGTCTACGTGTAACTTAGTCAGCTATTAATGTTATAAAATAAAAAAAATGACATGCATTACGTTTAGGATTTTACATGGTTAAACAATGTATTGTTTAAATTCTATGTAATCATATGCTCCGTTTTTTTCTAAGTAATGAGATCTTAATTAACTTTTTGAAGTTCATTTCTTATTCTTTAACATATATACGTCGTAAAAACGTAAATAAAATTAATCTTATGTTAATCTTAATCTAGAATTAATCAGTATTATCATATTATGCATCATTCCTGTAAAGTTTAAACATAGAATAAGCAATTCATTAGTTTTAATCAATGGATCTTTCTTGAAATCACTGATATTTAACATCTCTTTGAATGTTATCAATTTTTCCAAATCTATTTATTAGATAAGTTATGTTATCAATAAACCATCATTATTGATTTTAATTTATCAAAATGGGTTTTGTGGAGATTTTTAGAAATTTCACAGGTTGAAATCATTAGTCAATTGAAGCTAGACCACCATGGAAAACCTGGAAGCACTGGACATTAACACCGTTGGATGCCGGATCAGTGGTCTGGTGGTTAAGTGCTCGCGCGCGAAGCCAGTAGGTTCTAGGTTCGAATCCCGCGGGGTGCGGGATAGTGGATGCGCACTGCTAAGGAGTCCCATACTAGGACGAAACGGCCGTCCAGTGTTTCCAGGTTTTCCATAGTGGTCTAGCTTCAATTGACTCATGATTTCAACCTGTGAGATTTTAATTTAATAACTTGTTTTTTTTCTTTTCATTTATTATAAGTTATAAAGATGTGGATCAATTAGTAACTGTATTGAGGATTCTAATTAGAATAAAATTTAATCTTTATTAGATGTTAATCATGTAGAAATTTATAATTAGGGTTTTAAATGAAATTTAATCATAATTTGATATATTAAATTTTACTTCTAGGACTAGTAAATTACCTGTATTCACTTTTAATGACTGTCGATGACCATACTACGTTGAAAGCATTGGTTCTTGTCCGATTACCTCAGTTAATCGACGTTGGATCTGGTCAGTACTTACATTGATGAATAGTACTCTTAATTGATAATCTAACTTGTTTATATAAATGGTATCTATTTTATTAGCTGAATATTGTTCTATATATTCAATTGTATAGTGATATATCTAGAATCATACAATGGTTTTCTAAATATATGCTAAATACTCTTCAAAAACGTTTGTTATCTTAAATGGAACTGTGAGCACCTGGGCTACCTGTTCCTGCCATCTGGATATTTCAAAAAGCTATCTATTTTTTGTTTGTTTTAATATATCATTATGTTTATTAATCGCATAACCTATTCTGCTGCGTTTCTGAAAAGTGTACAACCTTTCGTTGTCAAAGTTACAAAAAACTCAATAAGAGACAATGTGGTTGCTGGCAATATACAGCGAAAAGAATGCACATTATTCAGATGTTCATTTACTGAACTGCTAACATCTAACTGGCGATCACTCAATATTTATCGCCAGGACCGACCAAGGAGAAAGAAACGGAAACTTGTTGAAATACTTTACGCTGAGAATTCTATGTTGTACCAAAAATATAATATTGAATAAAGCTGATGATAATAATAAATAATTAACAATGACTTCTACATAATAAGATGTTCATTTAGTTATTTTCAAGTACTTTCTTTGTTAACTGTTGTTTAAAATTCTTTTTGACAAATAGTGATACATTAAAAATACGTTTATTTATAATGTCTAGTGTATGACCTTCAAAAATCAAGACAGTAAAACCACGTTTAAATCACTCAGCTTGTACTTTATTCTCAGCGATTTCAGCCTACGGTGTAGTATATTCCCGTATCTTTTGAACTGGTTAAAATAAAGTAACTATTGAATCCGAAGTTTCATATGAAAGACTGATCTTGTTAGATAACCAGTGAAAACCAATAAGTTGTTTCGGTCTTGAGTGAGATTCCTTAGCAACATGCATTCACAATGCAATAGGGGATAGCATTCAGGCCCCTCAAGCCTTGCAGAAGTAGGTCAATCTCTAGACAGTTGAGTTGAGACCTAACGGTTTACATTTCTAACTTCAGTCAATATTTTTATGTTGCACGACTGGTGGAGTTCGACCATGTCGGCCGTCAGATAAATATCATCAATAGTAAGGAATGATGATCACGCAACACTAAGAGATAGCTGAGGTTAGAAATGTAAACCATTGGGTACCAACTTGACTGTCTGCATTTCAGTCACTTGTTACGAAAACTGAAGGTCCTGGATTTGAGTCCTGGTAGGATTCTGGATAAATATTTTTGAAGATACTCACATCAAAACGAAAAGGCTGTCCGATGCTTCCTGGTTTCTAGTAGTTATTTGATGAAGTCGGTTCTTGATTTGAAACTTCGATTTCAATATTCTTTACAACACCCTACATCAATAATTACTTAGTATGCTTAAAAAGTATGTTGTTTCTTAACACGCTAAAATAAAACTTCATCTAATCACTTACTGATGGTTTTATGATGGTAGTCGCTTCTGATTGCCTTCTGTTATCAACACCCGAAATAGGATTATTGTTTGAGAGACTATGATGTCTTGGTATTCCACTTCTAGAAGAATGTGAATTACAATTTGTGTTTCTTTCAAAACTGGTCTGACTTTTATGATTCCATGATGTAAAGGTTTGATTATTTAATAACTCTGAAATATTCTGTAGTAGGTCTGGTAATTCAGCAATTTGTGGTGTAATCTAAAACATGAATTTATAAATGGATTAAAAAATAGATTTTTCGAAAATCTGCCAAATGAACATTGAAATAAGTTATATTTGATAACTGCCATTAGTTAAAATAGTTTTGAAATGCTGATATCAACAAATAGAGATTTTACCTTATTTTGAATTTTTCATCAGTGAATGCTTCATACCCAAGATCTACTGAATTCATGGTTAACGGTTATTATTCAGAAGTTTGATCAGAATTCATTGGTTTGCATTTCCTTTTTTATACAGTTTCTGTTGTTGTTGTTGTTGTTGTTGTATGGTCTATTCTCATTTCTGGGTTGACTGATTTTACCTTTACAGCTATTCACTAAAATCTTATAATATCAAAGGCTTTTGTTAAACTTTAAAAATGCATATAGTCCGACTCTTACAAAATCTTTATCGATAGCGGTGTTGAATGTTTATTTTTCAGATCATCATTAGATCGCTAGGAAAAATCTACTTAAAACCCTTCCAGTACCATCCAATTTATTTGAGAGATCATCACTTCTTATATTGAATAAATGAGAAAATATAAATTTTTGATCTGTAAAATTAGAATAATTAAGTGGTTTGAATAATTTTTTCTGGTTAGCGTTTTTAGCGAGTTAGAAAAATTTAGAATGGATCTGATGCAGATGTGAAGGCGCAGATCGGCAAAGAAAGAGCAGCATATATACAAATGAAGAACATCTGGAATTCAAAAAAAAAAACTGTTAACCAACACCAAGATTAGATTTTTCAATCAGTCAGTTACAACATAGGACCAGGCGTATAAATGCATCGGTCCAAGTTGCCACACCTCATTAGCACAGCAAGACGAACACCGGATTCGTAGAAGCAGTTAACTCAATGGTGTAATTAACAAAGGAAATATTTTATGTAAGGATATGGTACAGAAAAAAAGAATTAGTTCGTAGAAAGAAAGATATGAAATAAATTTAGTCTCATATTTTAAGGGAAGACAGAAAGTGTATACACCGACGCCATTGTGATTGCATTTTCAATACAAATGTCAAGACAGTTCTACTGTATGGGGCGGAAACCTGGAAAACTACGAAAGCCATCATCCAGAAGATACAAGTTTTATTAACAGTTGTCGATACAAAATACTTCGGATCTGTTGGTCACATATTATGGGAGAGAACAGAGCAGATTCCAATGGAGGAAGAAATCAGGAAGAAGTGTTGGAAGTGGATAGAACACACGTTGAGGAAAGCACCGAACTGTATCACAAGGTAGCCTTCACATGGAATCCTCAAGGCCAAAGGAAAAAAATAAGACCAAACAACACGTTTTTTTCGATAAATGGAGACAGATATGAGAAAAATGAACAAAAAATTGGATAGAACTGGAAAGGATAGCCTAGGACAGAGTGAGTTGGAGAATACTGATAGGCGGCCTATACTCCACTGGGAGTAAAATTAGAATATTTTTTTTAGTATTATAGATCTATTCATTCTTTTTATATAACAAAAATATAAAACATAATACCATGCTATTTATAAAAACAAAATTTATTCACTATTGAACTTACATTAATTTGATTAATATAAAGATTAAGTAATTGAGTCAGTTTTGCAAATTCATATCCTAATTCAATAAATTCATGACAATCAGAATTAGTTGATAAATGATAATTAGAATCGGTATTTGAAGCAATTGATCGAAGAAATTTATACATGATTGGTATTTCTGGTTCAATAAATGAATTTAATACTTTCATATGAATTTCTTTATCTTCAAATAATGTTAAATTAGCTAAATTTTGTAAAACTTTTGCAATTAATGTTAAATTTCTAGAAATACGATTATTTTCTGGTATAGATGATGTTAAACCAAATAATACTGGACCATGTATAGCTGGACAAATAAAACGTAGAAATAAACAACTTGAAATTAAATGTGCCGCTGATTGAACTCCATGTGTTTCTTCAATTGTTAATGCTAGTGCAGTGAAAACATCACGTAATTCTCTTTTTTTTTTTAGAAAAAAAAATTAAGCAAATCATTTTAAGATTATGTCAGATTAATTAAGTTAATGGTATTTAAAAACTAACAAATATCTCTATTAGTAATGAAGGATTAGTGAAAATTCGACTTTCATTACTGACAATTATTATTTGAAATTGTACTTTAAACTACTTTAAATTTGGAAAAATAATTTATCAGTCCTTGTTACAGGGAATTATTTTAATGAACAAGCAGAGTTGACTTTCTCTTGTCGACCAGTAATGTCTACGCAAACGAAGGATAAGTCGCCTGAGTTGGCCTCCTCGATGTGCATTTACGAATTCAGCTACTCCTGTGGAGATAGCTATATCGGGTGTACTACCAACGAATGAGTGAACATCTACCAGCTTGGTTTATAAACGGCCAGATAACAACAATTCGCAGTTCTATCTTGGCATATCTTATTGATAGCGGTCATGCTGTAGATAAATCGAAATCATTTCGAGTGATCTATCGTATACCTTCATCATTTCCCAACGGAGTTCGTTCCCGCCTCCTACATATAGCTGAAGCTATAGGAATTCGTACATATAACCCCAATTTAAGTGTACAGAAGAAATTCGTAACCTCCCTATCCATAACTCACCAAACGATTTTCTTTTTTAATTTTTATCATTGTTATTATTTATTTATCTTATTTTATTTTTGCTACCGTTAAACTTATTTTCATATCAATTATTTGTTTGCAATTTTCCGCCTCTTTCCGTTTGTATTATTCACTATCTAATTATCTACACACTTCTTATTACGTAATGGTTTTAATGTTTTGTGTTGACTATTCCAAGTCTATTTACCCACATATGACCTTCTATTTACAACATTAAACTATTGATAAGACTTTTGTTATCGTATTTTATTATTCCTACTACTATCGGTACACCTGTCTTCCTACTATCAACATGTATTTTTACCTATTATGTATAGAGACTTATTCTATTTCATTGTGATTATTGACCCATATTGCCTTGATTGGTTTAACATTTTCGTATAAATATTCATGTATATTACAGTAAAGCCTGATAACGATCTAATTGAAAACAATTGTTCGCTTATATGTGTTTTACTTAAGATTAGCACAGGTTTTATATGATGCCGAAAAGAAGTACTCACTTAATATGACAGATTAATATTACATCAATCTATTCACATCTTACAAGACATTTAAATTAAAACAGATACTACAAATGATCATTTTGTCCCTGTTTAACTAAACAATTGTCCTGTTAAGTAAATCTGCAACTGAATTATGAGTATGAAAAATATGTTTCCACGCCGCTTGGAAACACGTTTTGTGTCAAACAACTGTAAACTAAATAGAATGATGTGAATTCTGAAATATTTGAAATACTGTTGCAACTATGTAATTAAATCATGTTTTATGGTGAAAGTGTCTTACAAGTTTAATGCAAAATAAGATTGAGTAATAATAAATAGAACGACATATGTAAGCGGACAATATCGTATTTAATTAGATCCTCATTAGGCTTTGATCTAATATACAGTAATGAACATCCATCTTATCTTTAATAACACATATTCTAGACAGATTGTTGAAATAGCAGTGGGTTCATCTGTAGATCTTACCCTTACTGATTTTTTTTCTTGCGCAACTAGAAAATGGACCTCTCAAAGAGGTTATTAATAAGCTTGACATTTATTGCCGTTATATTGATAATACTTTCATTATCGCCGATAAGAACATTGGAAAGGAACTTTGAGAGCTATTTAACAATAAGTATTTAGCAATCAAATTTACGTGTGAAGAGGAACTTGGTAATAAACTAAATTTCCATGACGTTTTGTTAGGAAGAAAAGAAAGTGATTCTGTCAGTGGCAGTGTCTATAGGAAAAGTTCTTCAGCAAGTCAGTGCACATATTCCTTGGGTTTTGTACCTATTCGTTATAAGCGAAAACTAGTTAGATGTCTTGCAAATAGAGCTAGGAAGATATGCTCAGACGATAATATAAACAAGAAGCTAGAGCTTATACATAATATGTTGATTGAAGTGGGTTATGCACAAGGCTTCCTGAAGAGACACTAGCATGTAATAAACAAGAAATTAGCGACACCAACGGTCAGTAAGGACCCCATCTTCCTGAAGCTGCAATTCAATGGAGATATAGTTCGTGCTGTGCTACGGGATAGAGTCACTAAAGCAAGGAAGAGAACGTTTAATGCAGCTAAACTCTGTCTACCTTTCTACAGTCAGCCTACGGTTGTTTCTGGTTGTGTTCTCATTCAGAACAGTGTGCAAGGTTATTTCTTGTTTTTGAAAACGAGTATGGCCAAATTTATTTAGTGAAGTAATTATCTATTGTTAGTAAGCATGTTTTAGTCCAATGACGTCAAGAATTAAGGTCTTAAAATAATTTCCATATATAGTAGTGAATTTTTTACTACAAGTAAGTTCTCATCATATGCTTATCATCTGATATGTTTGTACTTTCAGCAAATTATTAAGTATTACCGGTCATTATTTCTAATGAATAAATATTTATTTGAACTTACTTCGGTAGTTTACATTGACTTGATTCAATTCTTCGCCAGATCATTGCAACATTTTTTAGTAAAGCAGTACGATTTCTTTCTAGTATAGCAGATAATGTATTTCGGTTGTTTGATGCAGTAGATGAATCATTAGAAGCTCCTAATCTAGAAGGATCTATTTCGAAGTCATCTCCAATAACAAGTAATTGGTCGATTACTGGACCAAGAATGTATCGTAAATACTGAAAGATAACAGGAAAAAAAGTAGAATATAATACATTCTTGTTGCTTTGTACATAATGGTAATGAAACTGATCTGTCTTCTGTACGAAACTGTTTAAAAAAACCACACTAAGTTTGTTTAATGTTGTATTCTGATTTAGTTAAGCGATTTAATGATTCAATAATTACACAACCAGAAGAGATAGAGTATAATTTTGAACTATGAGTTTTTCTCTATGGGATTATTTACATAATATCAAATAGATGTCCATATATATAACATATGCCAGTCGTCTTAATTCATTAATGATATCAGTGAAGAGAAATAATGAATTGAGAGATATTCAGTAACGATGTAGTGTTCAATTAAATAAACGCAAGTTGATTAATTTTTTTTGAGGTAGTAGTTTATAAGTGAACTCAATGTCAAATATATAACCCCTGAAGTGGCTCTGTTCATATACCCCAAATTTCATGTAAGCTCTTCAATTTCAATAGTCTAGTTCTTTATTAAAAAATGATTTCCAGTGAAATTTCCAAGCTGTTATATGAACAAAATAAACCATGAGTTACGTATTACAGATAATCAAAACGTTTAGACAGTTAAAAGACCAAGTAACTACTAAACAGCTTGTAATTTCTGAAGATAGAGATGTGAGCGTTCAAATAAATGATGTTTTGATATTAAACTATAGTTTAAACACCCTCATACATCAAAAAATAGAGTACTTAAAAGACATTTTCATTACAAACTTTTAGTATTTTTTATTGTTTTACCAGTATTACTCATTTTCGAAACACTTATGAAAATATTGATGCTTTCCAGTTAAATGTTTCGTGTCGGATTTTTGCTAAAACGTCTTAAAGTCTCATAAGTTTTAACCATTACATAAATCAAGAACAGGAAATAATGGCTATTTTTTATTCATGGATTAAACTACACACGAGATAACATGTCGAATTTGAAATGCCTACGCTCAAACTATAAGAATTGTTGCTGGAATACATTATTAAATATCACTTTTAATCAAATGATGTGATTTGTTAAGGCTGCCAACAGACGAAGTTTCATATATAAATTGAAAAAAAGAGTATTTAAATCAACAATTGCTTTCAATAACTTCATGATCAGACTCTACGGTTTTAAGTCCATAGTTATTGCGTTATTTTACAAAAACCGAAGTAAGGAATGCTGGAACTAAAATATAATGTTGAATTAAGCCATTAGTAATAATAATAATAATAGTAATAATAATAATGAATTAAACAGTGTCATATGTTAAAAATGATTAAGTTTATCCGAGATGATGAAGGTTTATAGCTTAGATGGATGATTTAGGTGGTTTTGTTTTCTGAGTAGGATGGTTTGGTCGTGAAGCTTTCATCTTAATTTCGAACAATATTACCAGAACAGACTTCAAATTGAAATGAAGTATCCAAATTTCTCCACGCATGACTGACAGCTTGTCCTGTGGACCTCGATCTTGATTAGCTATTTTTGACTTTTAACCTGTCATTTTCTACCTTTCTTTTGATTGTTTCTTTCCTTGATTTGATTCTTGGTTCTACATTTGTCCATGATTTTTCTGATTGGTTGATAGATTGGATCGATTTCAATGTGTTCGATCGCTGATTGACCTCAGTGCCAAGCTTCTAAAAATTCTCTGGTGCTTTTAGTGTTCTATGTACATAAACTGGATGTTATCGATCCCTTACCCCCCACTACCAATTATTTTTTTTGTTAATATCTGTTCTACCTCCTCAATCTACACACTTATCTTTCCCAATTCACATGTATTTCTTATCATAATTACCTAGATTAAATTTCACTGATTACATATTGTATTCACACGACTTCATTTTTATTGTTATTATTATCTCCATTAGCCAGACGAAATTTTCTGGTAAGACTATAATTTATGGACAACCTTTTAGCAATGCTAAAATGACCTTGTAATGTTCGCCTATTTACCAGGATTAAATGAGAGTTATAAATTAGTGTGAAGAAATTAGGATTAGGATTTACAGTTCAATGTTAGGGTTAGGAATTAGATTTGGTGTTTTCATCATGAACTGACATCAGCTAAAATGTCAAAATGGTATATGGCCAAAATAGTGAATGAGCTTCGTGCCAAATCCAAGATCTGCTATCTTAAATGTGATTGGTTTTGTCCATAAATTATAGTCTCACCAGTTCTCTTAATATGAATTTTATCCACGTGGTTTATTTTATTAACATTATATAGGTCTAGAGGTTGAGCGTTCGCGCGTGAGACCGAAGGTCTTGGGTTCGAGCTTCAGGTGATGGATCTTGGATGTGCACCGCTGAGGAGTCCCATACTATGATGAAACGGCCACCCAGTGCTTCTAGGTTTCTAGTGGTGGTTTAACCATGATCGATTCATGACCACAATCAAAACTCATCTATCTCCACAACCCTATACTGATAATATCATGTTGACTAGTACTCGACACCTTACGACGAATCATTCTGACCGTTGACCTTGACACCATTCTTCCAGATTACAAACGACATAATTTAAAACATTTAAGCCGTAACAGACACGAACGTCTATCATTTTCATCATATGACATTGTTCATTTCACTAGCATACCTTATTTAAGTCTTTGTAAAATAACAATAATTATGGACTTAAAACTGTAGAGTCGGATCACGAAGTTATTGAAGTAAACGGAATATAACCAGAGTCATAAAATAAGAAAGGTCGGTTTGGTAAGGAGTTCTCTTTTCGGTTACTTCATTTTCGAAGCTGTACAATCGCAGATATATACTTATTTTTCAAAATGATAATAATTACAATACTGGTGATAACAAAATTCTGTTAAACATCATAACAGTGAGGTCGAATAAACAAAGGCATTGAAACGTTAGTTTTTTAATTAGGGATGTTGTTGCTGCCTCGAATATCAATCATGACGTTAGATGGGAAATTATAATTGGGAAAGGAAGGCTAAGTATAATAAGATAAAATGGTGAAATTGAGATTAACTATAATCAGGAGGATCATAGTCATTGAAAACAAAGTTCATTTAAATATTCTTTGATTCTGAACATTTAAATTGATTGAAGTTGGTTTCGCTTGAATTTTCAAGAATGCAGCTCACTAATTTTATAAGTATTCATAAAATTTAGCCAATCAACTTATGGATAACTATGTTACTAAGGTTTTCCACATACTCAAAATACTTTTAATTATACTCTGAATGTGACCTTAAATTGACTTGTACTAGACAATGCACTCTATCGTAATAAGAACAATGGATGACAAAGTATATGGTCCTAGTTTCGAATCAGTTCCGAACAATTTTACTAAATTGAAAATTATTAAAGGTTTGAGGTGATTGTTTCATTTTATTCACAGTTTTGATTTTAATAGGCACCATAATAATATATGACTCAAAAAATAAGGTTATTATTTTACATTACTTATGAGTAACTAAAATGCATTTACAAAATTAGATGTAAGAGAAATCATTTGTTGGATTCGTTCTGGAGTGCTATTGTACTCTGGTCATAAAATGCTCCGCACACTCAATGAGTTGCTCCGATGCTATTTGAAAATGCACGGAATGTGCTCAGAGAATAGAAATTTTATGGATCCAGGATCATTAAAGCGTCCTTCAAAACAAAGAAGGAGGGAATTACAATGAATGTTATCCAATGTTATGCGTCCATCAATGATAGCGATGAAGATCAAATTTACAAGAGTCTGCAATCAACCATAGTGAAGTGACCAGGAAAAGACCTGATAATCCTGGTGGGAAAGCTAAACGTCAAAGTCGGGATGGACAAAATCAGGTATGAATATACCATGGGACTGACTAAGAGAAAGGAATGGGAATGGTGAGAAATTTAGGAATTTATGTACATTCAACAAACTGGTTATGGGCTGCAAAATATTCCCATACGAACGCATATACAAAGCTACGTCTGCCGCACTGGACCACACTTAAGAGATTCGGATCGATCACATTTGCATCAATAAAAATCCAGAAGATCAACGGGAGACTTGAGAACCAGGAGATGAGCTGACATAGCTTCAAATCACTACCAACTAGTGGTTACCAAGATGAAACTGAAGCTAAAGAAGCATAGGACAACTGGACAAGCAGCGGTACAAAGGTTCAATACAACCTTCCTATGAGATACTAACAAACTTAACAAACTGAAGACAGCTCTCAACAATAGGTTCCAAACCTTACAAGATCTATTTGAAGAAGCTGATATCGAGGATAACTGGAAAGGGGTTAATAGGGCACCAACCTAGACATTACAGGAGGTTCTTCTTGGGGACGTTAGATCCCCAGAGCTCACTTGGGAAAGGACCCAATTTTGTAATTTTATTTGGGAAATTTGAATTTCTTTGTTTTCGCACCAAAGGCGCTCTTGTCACCTTCATGCCGTATTTCCCACTGGGAAATATCTTAAATTCCATTGGTCCGTTGCGCCTTTTGGTATGCTATTTGGTAACTCTCTCCAAGGACGGTTTTGTACTGTATATATACGTTTTGAATTGTGTTTGTTGTTATCGCTCGTTTCTGGCTGTTTGCAGAATATACTTCCCCATTCCAAGCTTGAACTTCTCCCTCTAGTTAGCGGGGCTGGTACTCATGAATAGCTAGCTTACTGGTCTTTGGTTACCGAGTTTTGTTTCTCGTTCGCAGATTAAGTGAACTCGTGATAGCTTCAACCCTAGCAGTTCTGGATCTCAAAAACACCATTATATACAATGGGTCTCTATCGAAACACTAGACAAGATTCAAGAAGGGAAGAATAAGAAGTCAGCAGTCGACATCATTCGAACAGGAGCAGAAAAGGCCAAGGCACTGACAGAGTACACAGAAGGAAGCAAAAGAGTAAAGAGGAGCATTAGGACCGACAAGTAGAAATATCTAGGAGAGCTAGTGATGACATGGGAAGAAGCTGCAACAGAAGGAAATATGAAACAATTATATGATACAACGAAGAAACTCGAAGAGAAATATTGTAAACCATAGC